CATTGGCAGCCGTGTTGTGAGGAAAAAAGTGTCTTTCAGGAAATGGTGAATAACCTCTAAGCATCATGATGTAACTGGGAAAAGGAAAGAATGGGTAACAGAACGAGCAGAAAACAATAGAAATTTTTGCTGCCAAGGCTGGGGTTTCCTGCATCTTTGAGGATTTTCTTTAAACTCATGTTTTTGAACTGCTCGAGATATCTGCACAGAACTTTGAAGTTAATAGTTAAGAGAGCTCTGCGTCTGGCTGGAGTTGTGTTTCAGAGGTACACTTGTAGCTCCAGCGGGGTGTGCAGGGATGGGGAGGGATCCTCAGTGGATGCCCTCTTCCATTGTCCAACCAGATACTATTTCCCAGCAGCAATTGAGGGGTGCAGCCTATGGACAGAGTGAAGCTGATTATATTAATATCTGATACAACACTGATAGTCAGTTAAAGTTAACTAAGGATGAATAATCCAGCCACTTATTCTTGTAATAAACTAGGAAAATACCAATCCAATTTGAATCTATTTGCTCTAATGCCATTAGCATGCTTCTGTGGTTCTAGGTGGTGGGTCTGATGGTAGGCTGAGGTACACAGGACATTTCATGTTATGATCTTATGGCAGAGAAATTCCATTGCCTGTTCCCTTCATATATTTGTATGTCAGGATCGGGCATTCTCCATCACAGTCCTGAAGCACATGCATCCATGATTAAAGACATACATGCCATTAATGCTGTGTTACTTTTTGATGTCCTTTTTAGCAAGTAAAAAAAAATACCTCGAAAATATTTTCATTCTGCACACTGATTTATCAAGCTAGACACATTTGAATGCCCTCTTTTAGGCTAACAATAGGATTTAATATCCTGATTAATTCATTCCAACCTCATCGTTTTTCCAGACAGCGCCAAGTGATATGAATTACATCCACTGACTTCTATGTAAAGATGAGTTTAATTTTAAAGAGTTCTGAAAACTAGAGAGCTCTGATTTATTTTTTTAATTGTTTCTAGGTTGATTTCATTTACACTTGCTATGAGTGATTCTGCTCTGTAACTGTCCTTGTTGGACTTGGTTAGTACTGCTGTGTAGTAATCTGTATTAATTATCTACTAATTAGTGAAAATTTACTCTGAATCATGACCTAAACAATTTTTTGTTTGTTTTGTTTGTTATTTGTGGTTTCTTTTTTGTGCTTTTTTTTGTTTGTTTGTTTGTGGAGTTTTTCTGAGGTTTTTTTTTGTTGTGTTTTTTTGTTTGTTTGTTTGTTTTTGTTTTTTGTTTTTTTTTCCTTAGGGAAATTTTGTCTGCAGTTAGACTATGTGGAAGTAGAAAAGTTATTTTTATAGCAGAAGAGGTTTATATACCTAGGCTGTTTAGGCTCTCATATCTAACCTGACTAGCTCTCTTTGTCATTAAGCTGTGTTTCAAAGTTTGCATCATCCAGTGAGCCATCAAAAAAGGTGTGTTGTTTGTTTGATATCTGAGGTGGAGCACTCGTCGTTATGGTGGTAGACTTGTGATTAACTCAGATTTCAGAAATGTTTCTTTCAAAACTGAAAGGAAAAGGAAAGAAACAAAACAAACATAAGAAGAAAGACTCCTTTTAAGTTTGTGACACCTGTTTTGCTTAGGTAAGTTATCCAACCTGTAATGTCAGAGAGAAGGTAACTTAATCAGATAAAATGCTTTGGAAGTAGAGCTTAATTGCAGTGTTTTACCCCATTCTAAGCTTTGAAAGGAGGTTATAAATGAGATTTAAAATTACTGCTTTTTCTGTTACGCTTGATCTTAGTGTGGCCTTAATAGTGCTGGCTAGAGAATATAAAAAAATGTTACTTAGCCATTTCCTTATTGAAGACGACAAAATACTTATTTTTAAGTTTTCTTGAAATAAATATGAGGGGAAAAAAAAGATCTACAGTATGATTCTGTGTTTATCAAGTTGTGTTTTATTAATAGCAACAATTCTGTAAACAGATGCTTTAGTGATTACTTAAAATGAAACAAAATAGTCCTTGTATGGAGTAGGAGAAAAAGGATTTAAGGTCACAAATACTGTAACTGAGTGGGTTTTTTTCTTAAAAAAAATTAAAAAATTGAATGTGTCTGCAAAGAGGTCACAGTAGTTGGATGGGCATGTGCTGTTTGCTTTTTGGAAGCTTTAAACTCTCTGCTGAAAGTCATCTCCCAGTACTGCTTTTTTTTAGCCTCTGGTGTCTGGACCGAAAAGTGCAGAGATGTTGTTATTCCCAAGTTCCACACAGGTCTTGCAAGCCTCATATTAACTTGAATGTCAGTGTCATTCTGATGTTGAAAAGTAGGAATATGGGAAATGTATTTCATGTGAAAATAAGCTGCCATATTTGATTGCCAGACCATGGATTTCCTGAGCTCAGGAGTGGGGTTGGGGTGGATGTTAGCGTTTAGTGAATCACTTGGGAGATGGTCACAGAGCAGGGATTTCTCTCCTGAATAAAGGAAGTTTCTGAAGGTAGGAGAGGCTGGGTCTTATACTCCCTGTGAGCTATGTTTGCTGTGTAGAATGTTCTAAGGTTTTTTGGTTGGTTGGTTTGTTGTTGTTGTTTTTCTCCCTGATGTATATGGTAACTTATTTAGCATCTGAAGGACAAAGATCTGTAAGAAGATAGAAGCAGTGCTTTTGAACAAGATTTTTTAGGCTACAGTAGTGGTTTGTCTTTATTTTTTTTTTTACCTGATTTCCTAAGAAGAGATAGATTATAAACTTGTGCCTCCTGCACAAATCTGTCATTGTTTCCATTCCCTCCCTCCTTACAAGTTTTTCGTCCTTTGACAAATTTCAAACAGACTTATGACAAGTTTTGTAGGCTGAAGGACACACTTTTTTTCAGAAGTTCCATGAAAAAGTTTGCCCGTTTGATTAATACTCCCAGTATGAAAAAGGGAGAGCATGAGCTGTATTCTTATTAGAGAGCAGTAACTCACATGGCTGTTAGCTGTGAGGGTGTGTGGAAGTGAAGCCTCACTGATTCTGTGCTCTGAGATGTTACTTGTGGGGGGGAGGTGGCAGGTTGGTTTTGTGGTTTGTTGGTTTGGTTTTGTTTTTTAAACTTAAGAATGGTGGTTTGACCCCAGTTCTAAGTGTATGAATTTTAAATTTTGGGTAACTTGCTGTTAAGCCCAATTGTTTTAAGTAATATTTAATTACTGTGAATTGTTCCACTGTATTTTCAGCCATAAATCCAAATACAGTTTTAATATAGTAATGTAGTTGAATATTTTAAAAATGGACAAACTGGTTTATACCAAGTAAACCACTCTATTAAGAAATACAAAAAGACATGTTCTCTGCTTCTAGTTTAATTCTTACATTTTACATAATGCAGTAACTTTTGTTACACAAGTAAATAAAATGGTGCCATGCTTGCAACTCCTCAGGTAAGCATTAGATTGGGAAATAACTGAATGTATTGTGAGACAAAGATATTGCTATTGTTGTTAGGAAAAGGTAGAAGTGAATAAGTTAACAAATATTAATAGGATAAATACCATATTACTAAATTCACAGCAGGATATAATGAAATTTTTGTCAAATGCAACTGCAGAAGTTATGCCTTTTATTTCGTGTTGACATTATGATGTGTCCTATCAGTATTAAGTGTTATGTCTACTGTTGGTATTAACCATTATGCTGTCAGGTCACTGCTCACTTCTTCATTAGGTCATGTATTTGATTGAGAATTTTTGTGTATCTTAAAAAAGCCTGAGAAAGATGGTATACTAGTAGTTTTCATGCAGGCTGTCATTGCCATATCACAGAAATAAATTCAGAGTATGAATGCTATGTTATTAAAAAAATAATTTTTGACTTCTCACAACAGGCAGTGAAGAAAGGCTTTGGCTGATGAAGGAATTAATTTTGTAAATAGCTGTTAGTAATGTAAGTTAGGAACTTTGGTTGAACACAGGTTTTAATTGATTTGTTTATAGACTTTGCTATGGTGGATGTAGCTCAACTTGTAACTTCATAGTTGCATACAATCCTCTCATCCCTCTCCTGTTTTAGGGGAAATTTTTCTTCTCTGAAAGATTTGAGGGATTGTAGCTGTAGCTATCAAAAAGTTTTCAACAAATACATGCTTTCTCTTGCTCCTTCCCTGCAAGTAGTGGTTACTTTCCAACTCCATTCAGGAAAGCATTAGCTTTCCCTTGCTGTCTCTCATCTGCCTATTCTAGGCTTTGTGCAGTAAATGATATGTCTTATATTTATAGTATGCGCTGCAATAATATACACAATTGTTTTGAGTCTTCATTATTAGTTCCTCCTTCTGAATATCAGCAAACCCTGTCATTTGTGCTCTTTAAATATAGGTCTTGTTGTGGTATGACTTATGTACTGTTGTAGGCAGTTGGTGAAATTATTTGTATTTTACTCTCTGTATTTTACTGGTTTCAGGAAAGGAGTTGTGAGGCAGTTTTCTGACCTACAGTTGTCTTGGTGTGGGGAGGAATATGCTCAAATCTTGGTAATCAGCTTAACCATGGACATGTTGTCAGGATATGCTTCACAGCACTTTCCCTCAGACTTACACGGTCAGATACCTTTGAAATGTGTTGGTTCTCCATATTACAAGCTCAAAAAGTATTTAGATGCTTATTACCTACTAATTTAGGTTTGAGTGAAATTTTTGGGAAAAATATTTTAATCCTGCCATTTAAATATTACTTCTATGTTGATATTTGCTAGAGAATCTGAAAATGAAACTGCTTAGATCATTTTAATCGGCTAAAACAGAAAATGCAAGTGTGAAAAGATAATTGGATGAAATAATTTGTTCGTTTTAAGATCTTGTATTTTACCTGTCAGTGTCTCTTTTTAAATGCTCCAGTTGGTGGAAATAGATTATTACATCTCATTCTCATTTTCAATCTTTGAAGTATAAACACTACTTCTAAAGAAGAGCAAATCAAAACAAATATGATGGGACTTGTTCTTTGTATTGACTGCATTTTTTTGCTTCATTTGAAGGTCATTCTGTGAGACTGCTGGGTCAGAAAAAGGATAATGGAAAACGTCTGGGGGGAGCACGACTGGATTTGCCAAAGATTAGGAAGAATCCACTGATAGAAATAATTTCCATCAATACAGGGTAAGAATCTTCAAAATTTATAAAACATACAGTACTGCTGAGGAATTCCATTTATATCTTTCTGCAGGCCTAGTGTATTACTCCTCAGCTACACAGAAGGAGGCAGGATGACCACTTTTGAATAGTGAAAGACATGAAATTATATTCTTTCTGGAAAATGAATCCCTGCTTCTTTGGATATGAGAAGAAAAGAGTATAGAGAGAGGTTTTTTTCCCCATGGTCTTTTGATTTCTAAGATGGTAGTTCAGGAATATTGTTAGTAGCTCATTAAGATCTGTAAATGTCATTAAGATCCATCTGATGTGATTGTCAGCCCAGATGTATTGATTACTAAATTAGATATAGTTACTTCTGTCGTGCCCCTCTAATATGTTTAAAGATCAGGAGATATCCTGTATATATTTATTCTTTTCTTTGTTTGAACAAGCTACTCTCTCCTATCAATCAGCAATTTCCCCGTAAGACCACAAGCTTCTGTTCTGTATTCCTATTTTGAGGAATTCTATTTTAATCTCCCTTACCTTGATACTTTCCTTTTCTCAACTCCACTTGGTAACGTCCCATTTTGTTAGTTTACAAAAAAAAAATAAATAACAAAACAGCAAGAACAAAAGAAATCCCACACAAGTCCTCTTCTGATTTTTCTATCTTCTCCAAGTTGTATAGAAATTTCCCTGATGGCAAGATTTAAAATGCATTGTTCTAGGCATTCCAGGTGGGTGTGAATTTGCTGCGTAGAGAAAAAAAATGTGGTGGATCTTCCCTCACTTTGAGTTTAGATTTGCACATTCATAAACATTTCGTAGAAGAGTTTTGCTACTATCATCTTTCTTGCTTCCTTGTCTTTAAGTAATGTGGCCTTAATAATTTGCTGTAAAACATAGTGTGCTATTTAGGTCAGAATACCAGTTCAAATTTTAGTCTGGCTGCTTTTTCTTCCTCTGATTTTTGGTAAATATATGGGTGATGTTTTGTCATATTGCTGAATTATAATAACTTTTTAAACTGCATTTTCATGCATGGATTGTTTTTGAAGTCTGGATATGAGCTTTTCTGGTGCAGTTACTTTAAGTGATCCAAATTCTTTCCCTTATTGGCTTTCCTGTTGACATCTTGTTTGTGCCCACGAAAATGCTTTTTGTGATTAAAAATGAGCAAAGCATTCTTTTACATTTGACCATGTCTGAGCTGAGTTTTCAGATGTTATAAATTTTCCTTTTCCACTGAAATTTATCGCAATCTAATGTTATAATATCTTTCTAGTTGTAAATGTTGTCAAGGTGGTAAGCTAATTGAGCTATGGTCTTGTTCGTATGTCTTTTGACTTGTAGTAGTGAATTTAAGATGGCAGAATGTATTGCTATTTCTGATAACAGGTTACTGCTACCCTAATTAGAGAGGTTAATACAATAAGGGTACTGTAGGGTATTAGGCATAGGTGGCTTATGAGAGTAGCAATCATTTGAAAATTCTTTTTAGTGTACTTTGAACAGATGTATTTTCATACTGGGTTTTGAAAAAACAGTTATTTCCCAAATTGATCAAACTGCAGACAATTAACATCTCCTTAAGATGTTGCATTAGGAAAACCTTTTCTTCTGGACCTGATAGTTTACAAGCACCAATTGCTTCGCTTAGTGGTTATTGCTGTTCTCAGGTCAATGGAATATGTGTTTTATACCATAAAATAATCTAAAAAATACTAGAAATGACAAAATTATATTTATTTCATGGAGAATAAAGTCAAATATGACTTGATAAGCATTCTGAAAGCCTGAAACAAACAAATCAGGTGTATAAGACACCTAAATTAACTAATATCTCAATCTATGTTATATTACCTCCTCTCCTGTCTCTCCTGAATTACATTTTTTTGTAATTTTATACTTTCCTGTCTTTCTCTTCCTCTTTCCTCTTCCCCAGCCTCTCCACCTGTGTATTGTAGGTGACGTTTTTGGTTACTATTCTGGGTTTGAAAGTTAAAGCATAGCTTTAGAAAAGCAGCAGCACTCGCAGTTTCTGAAAATACAAAAATGTAACCAATGAAAAACAAGACACGTATTACTCACTGTGATTTGCTGTGTTAATTTTATCAGATTTGCCTTACTAGTCTGGCTATGGCAACTTTCAGAACCAACACCATGTTGGAGTCAAGTTGTTTTCTCTGTGTAGAGACTGGAGAAAACTTTGAAGACTAGTTTTTGATACAGTGCTCTTTATTGAGAGATGAGAGTCCTCTTTACTGAGGTGAGTTTGGATCAGACTGTCAGTCTTAAAATAGTAAGAAATACTTGGTTAAAAATAGTGATTTCCTCTTTTGAAATGTGTTTGTCTGATACTGTTGAGCAGCAGCATGAGCAGGGTTTCTCCATGAGGGAGGACAAGAAGGGACCTGAGGATGCCACCAGCACAGGCAGTGCCCACACCCAACCTGGTGCCATGGGGCCTGAGCAGTGTGGGCAAAGCTGGGGGCTGGTTGTAGGACCCACCAGCAGTGCCAGATGTGACAAATCACAGAATCATAGAATATGCTGAGTTGAAAGGGACACACAAGGATCATGAAGTCCAACTCTTAGCCCTGCACAGGACATTCCTAAGAGTCACACTGTGTGCCTGGGTGATGAATTATCACCCAGGGCCTGGGTCTATCCAGGGGCTCCAGTCAGGATCAAAAGGATATGAGCTGGAGACAAGACTCAGGACAAAGGTACAAACAACACAGGTCTGAGGTCCATCCTGGAGATGAGCGCAGGGCTGTAAGCAGGCATAGTAATTAAGCTCAAGCCAGGACAGAGAACATAGGCCTTTGCCTAACTGGGGCTCCTGGCACAGAGCAGGCTGATGGATACAGCAGCTGAGGCTGGTCAAGTCAGCACTGTGAGAGGCAGTGGTGTATTACCATTTCCACATGGGGTCTTAATGAACTCTTGTCCTCTTCTGTAATTCTGTGGGGGAAGAAAAGGCTTGTTGCAGCATGTATATTCCTTATCCCCAAAATATTGGAGTCTTTGAGGGCTCACACTAACCCCTTTCCGTTTCCAGTAGTAGGAATACCTTTATGTACAAGGACATCTGCCAGCTGGAACTATTCTTCTGAGAATTCAGTAGGACAACTTTATTTTTGGAGTCTCCAAAAATACTGATTGTTAAGATATGTCTCATTCTCATACAACTGTGTCTGAGAACACACAATTGAAGTGGGCACAATTGAAGTGCAACACTAGAATAAGATTTGTTTCTTAACTCAGGATGCTGTCAAATTTGGTAATTAAAACAGTGAGACTTCTTGTTATTGATTTCTTCTTCTCTCAGACATGAAGGAAAAAAAATCCTGCATTGAAGGCTTCTTTCCTTGTATAACCGTGAACTTTTTCCCTACTTATCCATGCACAAATGTAGGCCTACATATGCATACGTCCCTCCACATCTGTTTTCCCCAGACTTTTGCTGTACATGAGCCTCCTCAGGGCTTCCTCAGCTGTTCCTTTGCATGAATCAAGACTGTCCTATTGAGGGACAAACATATCCATTACAGTATACAGTCCGTAATAATAATTTAAAATAAACCAAAATGAAAACCCACTAGCTGTAGAATATCTGTGAAGATTAAGTGCTACTTCTGTCTGTTGTGAGCCAGCTCAGAGTTTTCACGCTTGTACCTAAAAAGGTGTTGCTCTGTCCTTGGAGAGACCAGGGTCTTGTTCAGTGTTTGGCTTTTTTTTTTTTTTAAGGTAATGGACAGTTTTTTATACTGTTAATTTTGGTTGCACTGAGGTTTGCTGTTTTCTCCTTTAGAAGTCCAAACTGTCTTTTTAATTTACCACGGAAGTTAGTGGTTTCTGTCAAGAGACTAGATCTCTAGAGAAAAGCTTCCATCCGAGAAGCAACATGTTTCAGTTTCCAAGTATGTTTGCAGAGACTATGGTGAGTTACCAGAATGGGGCACAAGAGACTTACTAGACATGATGACACACAAAGATATGTTAATGACTTTTCATTTTTCCATGTTCCAGATATATGAGTCCTTACCATCCCAGTATCCCATACAAGCTGTAGATTGACCTCTGTATTTCACCTCTTGAATAAGAGACCTTTTCTTCCTATACTGTTCGCTTTCTCTGTTATTGCTTAGAAAACTTTTCAACATTGTTCAAATCAATTCTTCTTTTTTTTTTTTTTTTTTTTAAAGGAGCAGGCAGTTAATAAAAACTAGTGATTCTGACAGTGCTTGGATAGTTGTCTTAGTAAGTTTCACAGTAATATTAGGAGACTTGAACCTGGAAACATTGATTTGTTCCTGTACTCCAAATCAATTTTCTGCTTTGAATTAAGGGCATTTGGTTAAATCTCTTTCACTTTTATTTATGTCATAAGCATGTATTGTACAGGTCATCCTCCTGGAACAAGCAAGGTAACAGTAGTAGAATAGCAGGTTAAATACTGCTTGGAGAAAAGACAGTTAATTTTTTAACTAATCTCCTAATGTGATTATTCCATCTGTTAGTTTGAAGTAAGGAAGGGAAGTGTTCTCAAATTCATTTTGCATTACAGCTTCATTTCAGTCTAGGGAAAAATCTTTTCTCCTTGTGGTCTAATCGTCATTAGTGCCAGTTTCATAACCCATGTAGCCACTTAGACAGCTCTCTTTAATAAGATCAAGACTTGATCTTCCACATGTTAATTAATTCTGTATCCTGAGCTCTTGGCTCTGTAGCTTGGACTATTACTAATGTATCTGTGTTGTTTGCATGACTTGAGCTCCCTTGTTAGCACTCCTGTACGTTTCAAATACAACTTTGTAGTTTTTGTGGATGCCTTGGGAAGCATGAGAGGAGTGTAGTATCACCTGAATATGAACCCACACTAGAATTTACTGATGGGTGGGTTTGCCAAAGTGCTTTCCGTATTCTTTCTAAGTTTCTACCTCTCTCTTTCCTTCTGGAGCAGACAATTTGCTGTACTGCTAATGTGACTGGCTAGAGAAGAATGAACACACATT